ATTGATAATATTTTACACTGTTATATAAATATATTCTCATATAATCATTGTGTCTCAAAAGATTGTCAGCAAAAATTTTAATTTATCTTTTTTATATTAAATTATAATATAAATATTATTATTGATTAATATTCTTCATACTTTTAGTTTGTAAAAATTAAAATTATATTATTTAATAAAAGAATCAACATTAATAGTATTTACATAGAGCTTCATATTAAAATTTAAATAATTATATTTCTAACAAAATAAATTAAAAACATTAAATTTAATAGCTCATTTCAAAAGTTTAAAATATATATTTGTAAAAAAAAATTATACTTCTTTATAATATAAATTAGTTTTCATATTTTTTGAGTTCATTGTTTTAGTATTTTCAACTCCAAAATATAAAGCTTAAGACTAAAATAAAAAGGTAAAACCTAACAAATTAATTATTTTAAAATGTACCACTAATGTATTTATATTATCATTACATAAGTCTAGAATATATATATATATATATATATATATATATATATTAAGCATGGTTAGACGAATCTAACAACACATACTAGGTAAATATGACAAAAAACATTGGATGAGTCTAATAATACACATTATGAGTATGTTCATACACTGATTAGATTAATATAGCAAAAACCTTTACATGAGTCTAGGAATATACATTAAACAAGTTTGTGTATACATCAACTATATTAGTATAACAAAAAAATAGGCGAGTCATTCTATACATTGATTAGATGAGTCTTGTAGCACACATTAGACAAGTTTGTTAATACACTAATTAGAAAAGTCTATCAATATCATTAGATGAGTTTGTTCATACACATATTAGATTGGTATATTATTACACACTAGAGGAGTTTGTTCATTCATTGAGTAAGGGGGTATTACAATATACATTAAATGAGTTTGTTCATACACTACTTAAACGAGTCTAACATTATATATTAGATGAATGTGTTTATATATTGATTATACAACTCTAGCAACAAACACTAGACAAAGTCTATCTATACACTAATTAGACGAGTTTGGTAATATACATTAGATAAATTTGTTCCTTCATAAATGAGATAAGTATAATAATACACATTACACAAGTTTGTACACTTAATAATTAGGTGAGTCTTGCAATAAACACTAGACGAGTTTGAATATACATTGATTAAATGAGTTCAACAATACACATTAAATGAGTCATTCATATATTGATTGAAAGAGTATAAAAATATACATTAGACAATTTTTTTCATACAAAAATTAAATGAGTCTATTAACATACATTATATAAATTTGTTTTGATTGAATGAATATTACAATAAACATTATATAAGTCTCTTCATACACTAATTAGACAACTATAATAAAAAACATTAAAAGAGTTTGAAATACACATTAGATGAATTTATTCATGCACTAATTTGACAAATATAGTAAAAAACATTAGACTAATCATTATATATTGATTGGACGAGTCTAAGAATACACATTCGAGTTTAAAAATACATATATAAGATGAGTTTGTTCATACACTTATTAGAAAATTCTTATACAACATTGAGTTTGTCAATACACTAATTAGACGAGTCTAATAATATGCATTATACAAGTTTGTTCATACATGTATTAGACGAGTGTATTATTAATATACATTATATGACTTTGTTCATTATCTGATTATACGAGTCTTATGATACACATTAAAGAAGTTTGTTCATACACTGATTAGATAAGTCTAACAATACACATGAGTGTGTTCAAATATTAATTAGATAAGTTTAACAACACATTATATGAAATTGTTGATGAATTGATTATACAAGTTTAGCATTATACATTATACCAATATGTCCATACATTTATTTTTATTTTTATTGAGTTTATTTTACATATTTTTATGTAGTTTATCCTTTGATATTTTTAGATAGTTTATTCTATATTTTTGCACAAGCACTATTTTTTGTACTTATTTTTTTTAACTTTTTTATAAAGTCTACTTTTTACATTTTTAAAAACATATTAACTTTATAACTTTATAAATTATTTTTCACGTTGAATCAGATCAAAATTTAATTATAAATTCTACATATTTTTATGTAGTTTATCTTTTGCATTTTTAGATAATATTTTTTATATTTTTACACATGCTTTATTTTTTTTTATTTTTTTATAAAGTCTATTTTTTACATTTTTACATATGTCATCTTTCTAAATTTATAAATCATTTTTCACTTTGAATCGATTCAAAACTTAATTACAAATTTAAAAATATTTATTTTCAACTTTTAAATCTCTTTTAATATAATATATATTTATTAACATTAATAAAACACAAACAAATTTCTGCCCATGCGGAAGCACAATTTTAAAATTAGTTTTTTATAAAAGTTGAAACCCAAACTATTGCAACGTTCCCTTTTACAGTAAACGTAGATACAAATGGCGAAAAGAAACAAGATATTTTTCATTGACTTTACAAGTGACAATTTGTTAGAAGGTTTAAAATGGGTATGACATAACAAAAATATTGACTTCTTTACATTTGATAATCGAAACAGAAGGCAATTAAATTTCTTAAAAAGACAACATTTTATTGTCTTCATAACTAAATGAAAGTACGTTGTTTTCATTAATAAAAGTTGTTTCGGGTATGAGGTCGAGTCACTGTTAACACCTGCATAATTTTTTCTGGAATGTCGTCCGGTATATGTTCTTCTAGTCCTCCGCTTCGCTCCACCATTCAGAGATGAACTTGTCAAAGGTTCTCCGATTCTTATGTCAGTTGACTGTACGTACAAGGTTCAATGTAATGGTAATAAATTCACATTAAATACGATCACATACCTCTTACATTTCACTTATATTTATAGTTTTAGTGAAACCTTAATCATGACTCAATCTCAGCCCAATGTCTCTAATTACTATTTACCTTAATCTTTGCGGGAAAAATTTGTTTATTGATGAAGGCTGCATGCCAATACTTTGCGTCGTCCGGTCTCATCTACCATTTCTGTCATGTTCAACCGCTACTTAATTGTTTTCTACAATCCAAAATGTTTGGTGCAGAACAAATGTATGGCTGTCCGGGCCAGTACAGAAAACAATTAAATTTGTTTAAGAAAAAACATTTGTACCTAAACTTCAATAAAAAATTTCGTTTTAACCTAAACAAAGTAATATTGCAAACAATCATAAAAGAAACTTAGGTATGTAAGCAGAATAAAACTAAACCTACCTACAATTTAAGCTTGCAAACATTAATTGTCTTTGTTTCTACCAATTTTTTCGACATAGTATAAATCTTCAAAAACAGAATTTAAGAAAATGAAAATTACAAAACTTAACAATTACAAAATAAGTTTTGAATTTTTCTTTCCCACGCAAAAATATAATTCAAGATCAATTTCATCTCCAAATATTTGAATTTCATCCATCCTCTTAAAAAAAAAGTAAAAAATATCTATAGAACTAAACTCGTAACACAATTAAGAAAACAAAAATATCTCACAAGTGGCTAAGTGCTTAACTCTCAATTTATTTCTTAAGAACTTTGGATAGAACCATCAAGAATTTTACATTCAAATTAAAAGATGTGACAAATTCAATGTTCTACTCAAAGAGATCAAGCACAAAGCTATAAGACAAAACCAATGAATTTCAGAAACAAGCTAAAAAAACAAAAAGAAAAAAGAAAAATAGAATAAAGCCACACTACTAGAAAATAAGCAATATAGCCTCCAAATCTAGCGACTGAAATATAGTTTGTCTAATTTTGTTAACACTTAAGTCCTAATTTTATAATCTCAAATTTTAATCTTAAATAACCAAGATTTAATAGTTTATCTAAGAAAACAATGTTTCACGGATAGGAATTAAGCACTGTACAAAATTACTTTTTCATGTCACATTTTATGTTGGACTTAGAAAAAGACACAAAAAAAACGTTATGATATTTTTGTTAATAAATGCAACGTGTTTACGTGGAACGGTTTATACTACAACACAAAACTATTTAAATTATTACTCCAAACTATTGAAATTAAATTCGTAATTGTTTTGGAAATCTCAATCATGATAATGCACACATGTCTTTCATTAAATTTATTTGTTTATGTAATTTTTATTTAATTTAAATTATGATATTTAGTTCATTACATTTGATTATTGAAATCAATTATTTTAAGGAGTGAATAATATTACATGATAATTAAAATTATAATTTAAAATTTAGGAATAGTAAAAATTGTAAACATAATTAATTCTTTTAGTCTCTGTAACCTATAAGTAACTTCACCTTTTTAGTCTCTGTTTATCTTTTGTTGATCTACTTATGCGCCTATTAAAATTTAGTCGCTTGAACATTAATTTCTGTTAAAATTTAGTACAAATGTTTAAAGATTAATTACTTGTGTTAAATTTTAAAAAATTTTATATAAAAAGTTTATTTTTTATGTTAATATGCATTCATCATAAGTTTAGACTTTAGTGAGTTTTCGATTGAAACTATTTTGTATTGTTTTTCGATTGTAGACTTAATAGTAAGATTTTGTTATTATTTTCATTTTTTGTAATTTTAAGATAAATGTGAAATATGGCTAATCTTATTAAATATAAAATTATAGACTTTGTATGTACATGTGAGTGAATTATGCAAAATAGTTTTCCAAATGGGTAGGTTCTCATCTTAAATTACAGAAGTGAGAATCATATGTTACATCTTCAATTCCTAAGGCTCAAACTAATATAACCCAAACAACGAAATAACATTTTCCTTATCTTCTAGTCTTCTTTTTCATTCTTCTAAATGATAATGAACAGGATTAGAAAATTAGACAGCTTTACTGATATGATTTAGCAGTGCAGATGACAAATTGAACTCACTTCAAATAATGGTTTCTGGTGATAAATTCCCCCTTTAATCTCATCTTATATATTAAACATATAATGCTATGCTCTAAAGGAAAATAAAACTAAAATGGTTAGCACATGCAAAATAAAAAAACAAATTCTATATATTATCAAGACCAACTACACATTCCAAAAAAGAAGGAATTTGACCTACTCAATAAGTTAAATTCCAACCCTCAATACCACCTGATCTTGCCAAGAGATCTTCCTCTTCACTGCACTGTTTGAACCATTTCCAACATTTCTACAAACTGACAACTTCATGTCATTGTGCTGTTCTTCGATAATTCTCTTTTGTTCTTCAACCCTCATGGCCTCAATACCCAGGAATTCCTCCTCTTCTCTCTGCTCATGATAGGACCAAAATACATGGAAAACATAAGCCTACTGGAATGAAATATTAGCAGAGATTACTTATCATTAAAACATAACATGTAAATTATTTACCGAAATCTGGTTCAAGTCAAAAAATTTACTGATGCTCTTCTTTGAGGCTTCTTTACCACTATGAATTCCATCTTCGTGTTTTAAGTCAGCCACTGGAGCAGAATTAAGAAAAGAAAGCTCCTTTTTACTAAGACTCAAAGCGTTCTGGTTTAAATCAAACATAACTGTTTTTTGCACTGTGCTCGCAACTCTATTGGAAATCCTTCCTTTAGAATTCAAATGAGAGGTTGTGGCAGGGTGCAAAGTAGATTCCTTTCTATTATATTTCTTGCCCTTTCTGATAAGGGTAGCATGGACTTTAAGCTTTTGCTGGTGTGAAATCTCTTGCTTTGGAGAAGGATTTTGCATCAAATATCTGTAACGTTGCCTCAAAAATCTACAATTACAAGAGAGATAATTAAGCATAAACTCCTATGGATGATCATAAAATGATTCCACTATGAGAAACTACTCAAATGAAAGGCATGGTGATATTTTACCCAAGTTCTGCTGACAGTATCGAAATTTTCTGCTTCGCAGCCTGCAGTTTCATTCTCGTGGCATTTGTTTCCTGGACATATTAAAAAGTGATGATAAATAGTTTGCCAAATTTGAGAAAAAAAACTTAAAAATAAACACATAATAGATTCTTCATAGAAGCTAAGTTCATCCTTAAAGATTGTATGAAGATCAGAAGCCACCCAAATGATTATATGAAACATAAAAATAAAATCAAGTAGCTCAGCAGGAAAAAACTTCCTTTATGTGAATCACAGATACTCGAAACGAAAGAGAAAAAAGAAAACCAGAACAAATCACACTGCAATGTACGTGATAACTGTTTTACGCTTATTGAATCATTCAAAGGAAATAGCTTTGGTGTTGTCATAATGAGAGGAACAAGTATGAAATACTGATAACAACGAGTAAGCTATTAAATAAGGACATAGATTTCATCGTAATCCTTGATTGTACGGGAAATTGAGAACAAAGAGAATAAAAAACACTCTGATGTTCAAGCAAAAACTACAGTCTCGTATCGGTGACAATGGACAACAATTCACGTGATCGAACATAAAAACAGGTTTTTTTTTTTCAAAAAATCAACAAACAACACAAGATGCCCTATTGTCTTCCTAAAATAATAAACGAGCACAAAGCCAAACGATCATCGAAAGCCGGAAAGCTATGACAGGAAAGAGTAGATCTATCACAAAATTTCCAAACTTTTAGAAAATTGAGAAAAGGGTTACCTCCTGCAGGTCTTCATAGTCGTGCAAAAGACTCTGATGCCTGAAACTAACCGTCTGATCCTCATACACAGCAGAAGGTGTATACTCCACAGACACAACCCCTTTCATCTTCTTCATCAGATCAGAAAATAACAGAGCAAAGCACAAAGAAAGCACCAACAACAACAAAAAGTAAAGGTAACAAGCAGATCAATGACAAGGTGAAAGTTGGGTAGGTGGTAGGACAAGTCAGAAAGAGAGAGAGAGAGAGAGATATAGGGGAAAAGAAGCACGCAACGATAAAGATAACAAGAGGGGGAAGAGGGAAAGAGAGAGAGAAAGAGAGAGAGAGAGAGAGAGAGAGAGAGAAGGTTCTTCTGGCTTTCCTGTTTTCTCTGTGGTACTCTGAGCAGGACAAATAAAACCCAAAACCAAGTCCACATAACTCGGTGAGAAAATAATGTTGTTTTGAGAGAAAGTGATGAAGATGCGATTGTTTGGGGTGTTGCAGAAGGGCAAATAGGGGAAGACATTTTTATGACAGAGAAAGAGAAGGGGTTTGTGTTGCGTTGTATGGTTGGGTATGGTTGGGAGAAGGTTTGAAGCCATCAATTTAGCAAATTTCCTTTCTTTTGTGTTTCCCATCATTTCTGTTTCCTTTTCAGTTTTTGTGGTGATGAGAGAGAAAGAGGGATTGATGTGAGTGTGGATGTTTCCATGTTTCTTCAGTCATTCATCATTGGAGATTACTTTGGGTCTTTCTAGAGAGAGAAAATGCAAATGGGCGAGTGAGAGAGACAGAAAGAGAGTGTGGAAAGGGGACAAACCAAATGGGATACATCATCTTCTTTTTCTCTGCTACGTTGTACTATTAATTCACGTTCCCACCTTAATTTTAGCTCTACGCACATCTTACGTTCTTTTTGTTAAGAAAAAATATTCTAAACGGTCGTAATTATAGTTGGAAAACTGGCGGGAAGGATTTTTGCTTCATTTTCATTGCTTTTTTCACAAAAAAACGTTTTAAAAAGAGAGAAAAAGAGGGATTAAAAGAATAAATAATAAAACATTTATAGTTGTGGTATGGTATTTGGTTTTTAAATAATGAATTTAATTGAAAATAATTTAAATAATTAAATGCAAACAATTCAGTATTAATTCGGTTGTACAAAATTAGTTTTTTTTAAATTATAATTAATTCTGTTATAAATTTTTTTGTTTAAATTTTAAAATTATTATTATAGTCATAAAATAAATTGCATAGTTGAGATTTTTTTTTAACTTTAAATTTTTTATTTAAAATGAAATTAGATTTATATGAATAAGCTTGAATTGATTAAAAATATCTTTAAAGGAGGAAATTATATTATATATTTATTGAAGTATTATTGATTGATACAATAATATTAAAACAATTTGAATATATAAACACATACCGTAAAATATTTGTCAAATAATAAGAATTTTTTTCTAGTGAAATAAAATAGTTTAAAAATATACGAAATAATATTTCATGATAGAACATTTAAATGTAGAGAGTTTTAAATAATGAATTAAATTATAAATAACATGAATTATATATAAAACAATCGAATGTATGAAACTAATTAATAACATTTAAAATATATATGGATTAAAATAGAATTTTATTGTAATGCAAAATAAAACTACGAAATACTTAAATACTTTTTTTATTAAAATAAAGGTATACACTAGTGCAATAAAGGTATACACTAGTGCAATCAAGGTATACCGTCTCAGTCATTTTCACTTATAGACACCGGTTCTACGACCGGTGCATATTCAGACGAGGTAAAAAGAATGAATTTTTTGGCTCGGTTCTGAACCTAATCAAAAGGATTCAGATTCTGACTCGGTTCACAGACAATCGATGCATTATATTTTTTTAATTTTTTTATTTTCAACCGAGATCAGTGTTGTTATGTTTGTTTATTCTCTTTGTGGTTAAACTTCTTTCTCTTTTCTGCAATTTTTTTCATCTATGTCTTTGGACAAAATTACTTTGACAAACAAACTCAGATGTCTAAGAAGGGGGAACAGGAAGCAGAGAGAGCAGACGGGAGATCCAAACCAAAATCAGAGATCTATTTCGCCATCCACCTGCAAAGAAACAGAACCAAAAACCAAAAAACGCAGAAAAGGGTTTTTGCCATTGCAGCCGCCGTCGCGGGCTGTCTCGCCGCACCGTCGCGGGCTCCCGCCGCACCATCGCGAGCTCCCTCGCCGCACCATCGGAGCTCTCTCGCCTCGCCGCACCGTCGCGAGCCGTCTCGCCTCGCCGCACTATCGCGAGCCGTCTCGCCTCGCCGCACCGTCGCGAGATTTGTCCTCGTCGCACTGTCGCACTGTCGCCTCACCATCTCGTCTCGTCACCATCACCGCCTCGTCTCGTCAGATCTCATCTCGTCTCGTCTTGCCTCGCCGCACCGTCACCGCACCGTCCTGGGGATGCAGAGGGAGAAGTCATCTGGTGAGAGAATGATGGAGTTGAGGGAGAGGGGACTGGAGAATGGGAGGGGTTGCAGGAGAGGAGGGAGGGGTTGCAGGAGAGGAGGGAGGGCATGAGGGAAAGTGAAACGTGAAATGGGAAATGGGAAATGAAACATTTAGAGTAGAAGTAAGAATAATGGAAGGGTTTGAATGGAAAGCCTGACTCACTGAAAAGGTGCAACACGTTACGCCTCGGTTCTGTTATTAACCAAGGCCGTAGCTCTTTTTGTCAGATGGAAACCCTGCTTTACTGGAAAACGTGCAGGTCCTTGTGCCTCGGTCCTGCATCAACCGAAGCAGTATCAGATCCTTATGCCTCGGTCCTCCATCAACCGGTGTCGTAAACGTTTTATGTCTCGGTTCTTTGTATACCCGAAGCATATAACTTCATCTTAATTTCCAAACTGCCACCGCGTCTTTAAATGCTTCGGTTTTTACAAAAATGCGGCATATATCACGAGTTAAAAATGTGTTTTTTTACTAGTGATAGGTAGATATCATAAATATAAATTGTAGATTCAAAATAAGTTTTAGGGTTAAATATGTTTTTCATCCCTGAACTATCAAGCGATTTTGGGTTTAGTCCATATTCGAAAGGTTTGTTCCTTTTAATCCTCTTAGTTTTGAAACTCTTATTTTTACGGCGTTAACTTTTTTTTGATGTGGCAAACGACGAGCCACGTCACTTTTCCTTTTTTTGAAATGTGTCATCCTTGTTTCATGCATCTTTGACTTTTAAATGTTTGATTCTTTGACTGTCAAATGACTTTGGTGAAGATGGAGGTTTTTCGACAAGCTCCGCGTTGGTTTTGTTCAGATATTGAGGTTAGGCGATTGGAGGAACTCGATCTGGGTCATCTTGGTGTTGCGCCAATTTAGGATGCTAGCATGTGTGTGGTCGCTGCCCTCTGGCAGCATCATGAGGTGTGCATCCTCTCCTTCCTCACCCCATCAGAAATCGCCACCCTGGCTTGCACCTCCAAGCAATTGGGATCTCTCTGCGCCCGTGACTCTAAGTTGTGGTTCAGTATGTGCCAGCGCAGGTGGGGTTCCAAGACTTGCATCACACAATGGGGCAACGCCAAAGTCACAATATTCTTTTTTTCTGGTTCAAAACCTTTTCTTTGTAACTGAAATTGACATGATTTCAAGCAATAAAACCAAGTCTAGTGAAGGAACCAACACCCAAGGAAGAGAAAGAAAAAAACTTACCTTTTTATTGTTTTGGAAGTGACAATCTTCTTCCTAATAGCAAACTTTGGACCCTTTTTAGCTTTACCCATTATCAGAGAAAGGGCTAGATTATTCAAAACCCTGGCCAGAAACATAAATCAATTATGATATTAGTCAAACTCTCAAATATCAACCTCCAAACCCTAATTATCCCATTTTATTTAATTCTACAAAAATTGAATTTAAATATCACAAGCAAATATAGGGAATACAATACAGCAAAGTTAGTTTCAAAGTATTTCAACAAGTTGAATGAATCCACTTCAGAAAACAGAAAACAGTGTTCACAATGAGGATTTTGATGAAATAGGTGTAGTATTAAAATCGAAAAGGAAAGAATCTAACTACAAACAAGAATGACCTTCAAAGTTAGGCAAGAAAACGAAATTTCTAGGGCATAGGTCTTACAGGTTCGCCGTCAAGGTTTCGAATAGAATGATGGCACAAGGTTGTGGAAGATGGAAAATTGTTCCTGGGAGTAATATTCGTAGATGGCAGGGGTAAGGTTCTTCTCATCCAACCAGCCCTTGTAGACTCTACCAAACCCACCTTCACCCAGCAATGTGTCGCCCTTGAAACTCTTGGCCGCAGATTTCAGGTCCCCGAAACTGAACTCCTTCAAGTTGGGCTGTTCCAGAATCTGGCCGTCAGGGGAACTAAATGGAAGAGACCCTTCGCTGATATGAAAAATGAAACAATCAACGTGGCACACAATAACGAGGGAATGTGGCATCACACGTGGTTTGTCGTTTGTCACATCATAGAAAAGTTAACGCCGTTCAATTTTAAGGACTAAATATAAGAGTTTCAAAACTAAGAGGACTAAAAAGAACAAACCTTTCGAATAAGGACTAAACCCAAAATCGCTTAATAGTTTAAGAATTAAAAACATATTTAACCAAAAATTTTAAGAAATATATTAAATAAAAAAGTTTAACTATTTGAGTCAAAAAAGTCATACAGAAGATTCGATTATTTTGAACATTGGATTTTAGTTTTATAAGTAAAACATGCTAAAGATAAGATAAAAAATAGTGATTTTTTTTAGTTGTAAACCAAAACATAAATGTCAGTATTTTATTTTAACTAAAAAAATTCAAAACATTAAACTATAAATAAATAATAAAATATATGAATTATCAAAGACAAATAACCTTAAAACTAAATAACATTTTCAAATCATAAAGTTATTTGGTTTCGACTTTATTCATAATTATGAGCTCAAATTTTTTTTATGCTTCGGTTATATAGATAATCAAAATTTAATGTAGTTTTTTATTTAAATTATTTTAAGAGTATTTGGTTTCAATTATAATATTGAATATTCGTTTCTACTTTGGTTTTAGCTATAACCGAAGTCTAACATGAACATCTTTTAAGAATATTTTTCTTTTACTTTTGTTTCATTCTATATATTAAATCTACAAAAAAATTTAGTACAAAAATATAACAGAAACATAAGAGCTTATATATTCATTGCAGCTAGAATAAGTCACAATCTAAATACATGTAAATATGCTAAATGTTATTCTTACATTTGTTCTAAATTCTTAAAAATATGATATTCTTAAAACAAGTAAATATGATAAATACTATTATACAATTATATTATGTATTTTGTACAAGCCTTCCTTAAATAATGCATGGACTTATCGAGAGAATTGGTGTAGGACTTTTGAATTTTTGTATAAAAGACAATAATTCTTAAACAACAATGCCTAAGATTCTTGTTTCCAAAATGAAAAGATGTGATTTTAAAAGTGTGTGAAAAACCTTTCTAAAAAAAATATTTGATATTGAAATAAATAAAGAGACACAAATCAAGTATATTTGAATATTATAATAATATATTTTATCATATACTTGTGTATGTGATTGGTTTGATTGGTTTCAGTTCTGCTCATAATTGAGACCAAATTTGGCTTCGTTATAACTTAAACTGAAGTTGAATACCTATTTATGCTTTGATTTTGGTTATAATCAAAGTCTAATATGAACATTTTTTTAAATTTAGTATCCATTTTACTTATAGATTTATCAATGGAATTTTTTTGTTAATAATCCAAAATTTTACATTATCAACGAATTTTACCATGAAATGGTCAAAGCTCAAAAAGGAATTTTAACGTCATTTTATTGACAAAAAAATTCACCAATAATATCAA